AATAAATAAACCTGTTTGTGAACGGAGGCGACCACTCCAGATTGGGAGTGCATGAAATCTACACGCACTATGCCTTTTAGCTCTCTTGACCAGACATATGCCAGAACATCTACTAGGGACAGTTCTTCGAACAGCATTATTAGGTATGTTCAAAGAAGGACGCGCTTTCTGCTGCTACCCACATTGTATGGACGGCAGCCCATACACGCTCTGGTGGCTGCCGTGAAGGCCTTCGCTGTTGTCTGGCCCTGACCTCCCGAAAACAAGAAAGGGGAGGCCGCAAAAGCGTTAAGGCGAGAAATTAAAGGCTGCTGTTTGTGTGGTTGATATCCTCATTGAAAAGGTACGCGTCCGCTGAAAAGTTAACGTTTTTTTTATTTTAAATGTTTGAAAGCGTGCACGATTTTGGACCTGCACAGCACTACCACTTTGTTTGGAGAGCCGTTTACTATGTTCCATGACTCACTCGTTGCCTCTAAGGCTTTACGCCAGAAAACACAGGGACGAAAAGTGAGAGGAAACACAAGAAAAGGCGTACCTTCAACTTATTATTTTTTTTATGACGAGACATATAAAGATTGATAACTTCACACGGTCAAGGGAAAAGCACACAGTTAATAAAAAAAGCAGCCAGACAACACTAACTCCAGGCTGAGGCTTTGCTGATATACTTTGTGCTTTTATCAGGGTGCCTTTCGATTTCACACGTGCAGTTCGCAATGTTTATATCTGTCTTCGAATAAAATTGCTTTTGAAAGTACTCCTCCTGCGTTTCTTCTCACTTTACGTCTCCGTGTATCTCGTCGTAAAACCTCAGTATGTATTGGAACCAACTAACCCCAAATTGCAGTCTTAATTCAATGATTTTTTTCGTTCCTGACTCGTTGGCTTACCGGCGACGCATGCGGTGAGAAAGCAGGCCGCAGAGCCTGCACACAGGGCCCGGACAGACATGCTGGCAAGTTCTGACTTCCGCTCTGGACACAGGGCTCCCAGTGCCCCCAGCGTGATACCGAGGGATCCCAGGTTTGAGAAGCCGCACAGTGCGTACGTCGCTATTACCACCGATCGTTCCTGCGGGTTGCGGGTTGGAAAAATGTTCGATGGTGAGATACAAGTGGAAAGAGCATTGCGCTGAACGACGCAGTAGTGCCTTTTTAAATGAAGACTCGGAAAAGGAAAAGGGGGGGGGGGGGGGTATGTTTCTTACGCTTGCTCTAATGCTCATGGCACACGAAACCAGGTCAGACAAACGAACAGGTATGTACGGTTCCGTAGACAAAAATAGTGATCAGGCGGGCTGGCTTATGTGACACATAAATTAAACGAAAGAGGACTGTGACAAAACTGAACGAAACCGAAATATCTATAGCGCCTTCGTGTTTTCCTCTGTCTTCGTCCGTTGTCTCCGATTAATTGTACGTGTCGGTACGTTACACCGACAAATAATGAACGCAATTAGTGCGTTAATAAATATCCTACATTTTGTGAGTTTTCTTCGGAATAGGTACGAAAAATATATTTTAAAGGAGTCAACAGTATGACACATATCCAATGTACAGCATGTGTTGAAACAGATAATACTAGTTGGACAAGTTATACAGGATGGAGGCACATGAACGCTGCTGTACCATTCAAAAATGTATATTCTCCTATTGTCCCCAGCAACACTGTGTCATGGAGTCTTACTTAAGTCAAAACCGCAATCTACGTTCAAAAATAAGGAGCGAAGCATGATAAAGCTCACAGTATGAAAACGTTTGAACTATATGCATTAGATTCCATATAAGGCCTGTAGAATTCACGTTAACAGCAACTTTCTTGGTGGACATATAATACATCAATGGATAAAACCCCATAGAGGTCGGGGGTTTCTCTTAAACGAGATTACCTTCAAAAGGGAGAAGCAAAATATAATTAAAAACGCGAACAAATTTATTTGGACTCTGAAGATCAACAGACCATTTAGAAATAGGTAGCCCTGCGTCTCCACTGTATGCGGCGCATCGCGATGAGTCCTACAACATCGCACAACTTATCCTACCGCAACACAACAGGAGCTCTCTAACGCTCCGCTTACCTCCAGAACGCTCCTGACTTGGGCGAGCTTGGCGTATGCGATGAATTCATTGGCGAAGGTTTTGATGCCCACGAGTTCGCCCACCACCATGGAGTCCTTCCAAGGAACGCCCATCAGGTATGCCAGGGGTGTGAAGAGCATCGACAGGAGCCACTGCAATCGAAAGTTACCGTTCCTTCAGACCACAGAACAGCTTATAAGGGGTTGGAGAATAGACTCTAAACACGCAAAGAATGATCCCAAGGAGGTGAAGCGAATTCGTTTTGAAAGCTGCGATTACCCTGCTCATACCTACAAAGAGGCAGTGTGCAGACATTGGCGTGGCCAGCAGTTTATTTTGCGGTGGTGGGACTCAAATGTTCATCACTTGGTGTGCGGGAGAAACAGGCCTCAGATACTGTCTGCTTCCTTGAATGGCGATCTTGTTCTATTTGTCATAGAAAATTTGTCTTCAGATATGTTCGATGTAAACATCTCTATTAAGCAAACATACTTTTCACATACTTGAGACTTGCTGCAAATGATTATGTCACATTTGGCTGCAGAGAACACAGCGTCTTCTGTTTATGTATGAGCAGTGTGGCAGCGGCTCTAGTGACCTATGCGTTCTAAAAGTCATAATAGCGGATCGCGTTCATTCGGGGCCTTTTCTCTCGTTCAAAATGCGTTGCAAGTGTAACTGCCGTGTGAATTGTGATGGGCGCATGCTCCAGCGTTCGGCTAACAATGGGCGCACAACAACCAATAGCGAGCCATTGCCTCCCGTGGAGCGAGCTAGCAGGGATTTTCTTCTGCCATGCTGGAGGACATGACTTGCCAATCGCAAACAGAGGCCTTTGCTATCCGACCGTGGTGACACACAGAGTGGGTCAGCTAACTTGTGACCAGACTTAAATGGAAGCTAACCAAAGCAGTGTTGGCAAATATATTTTAGCTGCGTGCCAAACTGGCCATAATTAACGCAGATTAGTTAAATAACTTTAAAATATCCCTCTTGTGCGCAAACCTTTCAATACGCGAGTTGAGAAAAATCTCATATGTCATTTTTAAAGAGGCAGCATTTTTTGTCTAATATTTTTAAAGCTTAAGAAAATAACGATATAAAAATATAAAAAAAACCTTCACAGGCGAGTAGTTAGTTACACAACGTTCTCGATGCTAAGCCTTTTTATAGAACTCCTCGGGGAAATGCGATAGAGACAGCTATATTTTCCTTAGGCCATCAACACTGCATCTTTATCTCCGACGACGGAATCACAATGCGCATACATTATACAAAAAGACGGTGCTCGTTGCAAACACGATATGACCGCATTACCTGCGGACGCGCCTGACGCATGTATAATTTGAATACCAGCACAGCAGGATAGTTAAAGAAGCAAGGGGCAAGCTTCAGGCACTGTCTGCAGACAGTCTTTTATATAATGTAGTAGCGGAGTACACTCTCAAGAAAAAGGGGTGTAAAAGGGTGAATCGATACACCCTTTGTCCCCTATAATACACCCTAAAATTTCAATTCGACGTACAGCGCCCTACAGTCGAACAGACGGCTCGAAAGTTTTACGAGGGGCTTGATAGCCGTGTGGTACAACGTTTTGAGGGGCCCTGCAATCATATTTAGCCGTCTACCTTTTCTGTGGTTTCCAGGTCTCTTGGGGTTCGGGCAAGCCAGCGGGCACGGAGAGAGTAACTAAATATCAGTGCGTCATATCTTAACCGGACGACGCGGAAACCTCCTCCACCGACGAGGGCGACCCGCGTAGGCAAAAGCGCGCGATATCTGACGTCTTTGGTCCTGGGCTTACTACTGGTCAGAACCGCTAAAATCTTTTTTTTTTTAGTCGAAATACAAAATATAAGTGTCGCGAACCGTTTCAATTATGTATCAAAGTAGTTTTTGTTCGGTATATGAGATCAGAAAAGAAACAAATGCAGTTTATGAAGTACGGAAACAAGAAATGACCCGTCGACATACCCACCACCAAGCGGCGGAAAAAAACGGCGCATATTAGAAAGGGCTAGTGCGATGAGGCGCCGACGAACGGCGTGCGTAGAAAGGACCCGGATGTACGCGGCGGCGCTGCGGTCGAGGATCCGACCGGTTCCGAGCGTTCCGAAGGCTTTCGGCGCCGGCTTTGCTGGCGATTTTGCCATTTGGCGGTATGGCAGCGCGAAGTGGCTCCCGTTCTGAACTGATATTTACCCCGTGTTTGCTGTCGTTTGTGGCCAATGAAGTGTTAGGGCGAATTAGTCTTTAATTGTGCAGCAAATGCAATGCGAGCCGCCCTGACCGCCCGCTTCATACAGCCTATCCAACACGTGCTTTAGTGGCGCCCTCTCGAGCCGTCGACACGGAGTGCGGCAGCCGTGAGCTCTCGATGAGCTCACTATCCCTCCTCTAGTTCACGGCCGCTCAAGCCAGGACCTACTGCGCCATGAAGGAGGTTATTTTTTGCTTGTTTTTGTGATCCTAATTTGCCGATAACTTTTAAACTAAAGCGAAATTTGAGAAAAGAAAAGTTTCATTAAGTTTCTACGTTCAGTGCGCTCAGATTCGGTGCAAATTAAAAATCAGTCAAAAAGTTGTTGCAGGGCCCCTTTAAGTAGCTGAAATACGTATAGAAGACCACATAAAAAAAACACCGCGTTTTTACAGCAGGGCCAAGAAAACCCGGATTATTTTTTTCGTGTTCAGTAAAACGTACATTAGCTATTTTAATAAGTTGTACCACACGGCTATCAAGCCCCTCGAAAAATTTCGGGCCGTCTGTTCGACTGTAGGTCGCTGTACGTCAAATTGAAATTTCGGAGTGTATTGTAGGGGACAAAGGGTGTAAGGATACACCATTTTACACCCTTTTTTTCTGAGGGTGTAACTGGAGTATCACACCCTCTGGAAACAAGGTAAAATAGTGAGCCACTACCTCACCTCGAACGTTAGGAAGTCGAGCTTTACAATGGAGCCAAACCAGAGCAGAGCGCTGTTGAGGAAAGCGATAAACGCCAAGAAGCCGATCACATTGGCCACAATCTGGCCGATTATGGTCAATCCCACAGTGGTCCCGTTGGACGCTGCTTCCAGGACGTTCTTTTCTTTACTGCATTTAAAGAAAAAAAAATAGAGAGACGGAGAGAGAGAAAGGTGAGGCGCAGAAATACCTGAACAACTTTGGCACTCACTTAAAAGGATCCGGGACAAAGTTCGCTAGAACAAGCAATCGCCATTTTTTTTCTTCTTCTTTTTCTCAGTATTAAAGGACACAGCCAAAGTTTCAAAGACAAAAACTATGGATGTGTTGACATGGATACGACCGTCATCAAAATGAACCGTCTTGGGAAATCCATTATACCTTGAAATGTCTGTTTTAAATATAAGGGCCCAAAAACAACGCCGGGAAAGAAAGAATCAAATCGAGATGCCAAGTAAAGAAACTCACCTTTTGGGCATCACGATATTTGCCAAATTCGTCTTGCTCTCCTCCACTTCAGGGTAGAGGAGCTTTGAAAAGGCCAGCGCAGCCGGTGCGCTCATGATGGACGCTGTAAGCAAGTGACTCGGGCTAACCTGAAGGGAGTAACAGGATATGAAAAATGACTCAAACTGTTTTCCGTTTCTAAGTTTGCAAACTTCTTAAGAAGTTTGTAAACTTAGAACAAAACGTGCTTACCCCGAATCCAATGTAGGCCGCCATGACACTGCCGGCGATGGTTGCAAAGCCTCCAGTCATGACTGTATGCAACTCCGACTTTGTCATAATAGGCAGAAATGGACGAATTACCAGAGGAGCTTCGGTCTGCAATAGAATATGAAGTTTCTACGCATGAAAACGATCTCGTACAAGCATTCCTTGAGTTTTGTAGTAAACAGCGTGTGGCTTGAATTTGTTATATATTTCCTATTAAATTTCTCCGTTGTTTACCAGTCACTAAACATACATCAATTGCTTATTCGTTCTCTTACTCTTTCAGGGTTACTCTCAAGCTCGCAAAATTATGACGTGCCTGTTCTCAGGAATTTGCTTTTAAACTATAGATATACCTGGTGTTTTTGTTTTATTCTTACATATCTGTTAAAAAAAAAAAAAAAAAAAGAAAGCCACGAAAGCTACAAAAATGCGGTTTGTGCGAGTGAGTTATACGCTCAGGGGGACATTCTAGGGGTAGCTAATCTTCGCGATAAGTCGGCTAATAATTAAAATTCGTTGATTTTTAATTACCAAAAATATTCCCACGGTTCCAAATAAAAAAATTTGCTGAGCGCCGTCCAAAACCCCTAAATCAGTATTTTTTTTAGAAAATGCTTTGTGCGGTGGAGTTACCACTCGTGGAGGAGGTACAAGGCTGGGGCTATGTAAGAGACGGAAATATCTCGCGGGCGCCTTACCGCAACCGCTCGCCTTGTAGGTGCTCTACGAGTGGTAACTTTAATAACTTTTATATATATATATATATATATATATATATATATATATATATATATATATATTGTTCCCAGGTGCTGTTCCGTATATATATATATATATATATATATATCAGTAAATCAGCAGAAGAGTTGATTAGCAGAATATATATATAAGTCAAAGACGCGTACTCCCGGAGTTACTAATTCGAAGTTTATTACGACGTCGTTTCGAGCGGGGATCGCTCTTCATCAGGTGACGAGTGTACAGCGGTCCCCGCTCGAAACTTCGTAATGAACTTCGAATTAGTAACTCCGACAGCACGCATCTTTGACTTATTAACGTTTCCCGATTCATTGTGCTACCTTACCACACACACACGCACACGCACACGCACACGCACACGCACACACACACGCGCACACACACACACACACACACACACACACGCATATATATATATATATATATATATATATATATATAAAATGACTGATTTAGGGTTTTTGGATGACGCTCAGCAAGTTTCTAATTGGAGCCATATGTCTCTTTCCACTAATTAAAAAGTTTATTACCGAATTTTAATTAATTACTCGACTTGTCCCAAAGATTAGCCACCCACATAATGTCCGCCTGGCCGTATAACCCACCTGCACAAACCGCATTAGTGTAGCTTTCACGTTTTTTTAAACAAATGTTTAAGAATAAAAATTAAAAAAAAACACCCTGTATTTGTACAGGGTGTTTCACGAGAGGTGGAAAAATTCGATATTGCGAAAATTAAGCGTCGCAACAACAAAAAAAAAAAAGGCTTTCGCCGTTTTGGTTTTGGGCCAGGGGCGTATTTAGGAAAATTATTAAACAACGACATAATTAGATTGTTAATTATTTTTTCATATTTACCTTTTATTATTGTGTTTAAGGGCATGGTTTCGATTAAAAAATTACTCAGAATCATTGAAAAACGCTAAATCAACAAATTGCAGAACAATAGAAGGCACGCGAAGCATTTTACGGCTTTCTCAGAAACCGCACAAATTCGACGGGTTTTTAAGTTTCGGTTTGCAATCGGGACGCATCTCGGCCCCGACAGCACCGCGCCCCGTGGAGAACTAGTGCAACCAACCCCTGCCGCGCTGTCCTCGGGCAACGCAGCAGGGGCTGGTTGCACTATTTTTCCACGGGGAGCGGTGCCGTCGGGGCCGAGATGCGCTCCGATTGCAAATCGAAACTTAAAAACCCATTGATTTTGTGCGGTTTTTTTAGAAAGCCGTAAAACGCTTCACCTGCCTTTTATCGATCTGCAATTTGTTGATTTAGTGTTTTTCGATAATGCTGAACAATTTTCTAACCGAAACCATGCCCTTACAAACAGTATTAAAAAGTTAATTACTTAAAAATAATTAACAATCTAATTATCCCGGACTTTATAATTTTCCAATATAAGCCCCTGGCCCAGGACCAAAACGACACAAGTCTATTTTTGTTGCGATTCGTAGTTTTCGCAATATCGAATTTGTCCACCATTCTTGAAACACCCTAGATAAATAAGTTCTTTTAATAAGCGGGTTGAGTATTTTATTTCTTCCCCCCCCCCCCCCCCCCCCCGCCACAGATAATTCCAGAAACACAACAAATATGAATCATTGCGTGCGCCGGCGGCAGAGTGACAAGTTCTACGAAGCCGAAAAAAAGATCCGGTCAAAGTTGGCATAAACACAAACGTAACGATACCAAATAAATCTAGTGTCCGATTTACGTGACCGCGAACAATAAGCATTTCCACGTGTCTAGTCAACGTCCCGTAAAATATTGCGAGTCCGCTGTTACCGCAATCGACCCTTTTGAAAAGTTCATCAAGAAACACTGGCGGACGTCATAATTTCGGCGTCGCTTCCTTGGCGAAGTATGTGATTTTAAGAGAAGCTAAAGTTGCGTAAGATTAACTTGCAAGAGAAGCTAAAGTTGCTTAAGATTGGCGATCCGTTTTTGATCAGAAGCTTGGATGAGGTTGTAGAATTTTTAGAGGAAAACTCGAACAAAGGCTTCTTAGCCTGCTCTGTAGACGTAAAAGATTTGTATTACTCCCTCTCACATGATAAACTACTTAGGTGCGTTGAAGAGCGCATCGACACCGCGGGATGATCACTTTCAACATGAAGCGGGCATGACAGTAGAAGACTTCCTAGAACAGCTAAGTTTTTATCTTAACTCAACTTTTGCTAAATGAAATGACGACATTTTTATTCAAAAATGGGGTGTGTGTATCGGCTCCTGCATAGCTCCTATTTTGAGTGATGTATTTTTAGCGCATCATGACAGAGTAATTTGTGAACGCCTGAATGCTTTTAGCGTTTCTAAGGTTTTTAACTATGTTGACGATTTTTTTTAAATTTTACTTCACAATGATACTCCCCTTTCCCCCTCGACGGTAGAAAGTCGTTTGACCGTTTCTGGTGATGTCCTTGACCCTCTTCAGGACACGCATGAATTACCCGTAGAGAGTGTTATGCAATTTATAGGCATTCATCTCACTCTGTGGTAAAACTACATATGTTGGGCATACCACCCAAGGGCCAACAAGCCGTTGTTACCACCTAATTCATCCCACTCAAATTACTTAAAAGAGGAATAGTTAATTTGTGTTTTACGAACGCCCTCAGAAGGTCTTGCCACCATGCAATGTCCTTGAGTCTGATTGAGCGAAACGAACGCTTGCAGTGTGCCGGGTTTCCAAAGGCTGTGAGTTTATCTGTAGCAGAAGGCGTCCTTAAGAAAATAAGAAAGGATGTTTACCCGCGCCCAGAGGCAGGTCAAGCAAGACAGAAAGTGGCGATTGTGCCGTAGATGCACAGAACAGCGCACAGTCTTGGAAAAATAGCGAAACGTGTAAACGTAAAATTCGATTACTTTGCACCCGAAAAGCTCGCAAAAATGTGCAAGCTGACAGACCCATTTCGCAAGGTATCGACGGGCTGCCCAATCAAGCACAGAAGTCTTTTTGTTGCGTGCACGGAAGGGGTGGTGTATCAGATTCCACTTTCATGTGGCAAGACATATTCCGCCAGACAGGCAGATGTTTAAACGTACGGCTAAGAGAACACTACCTGAAAGTGACCGCTGTTCGGGATGGCCATCTGTCGTGTCACTGTCATGACTGCGGGTGCTAACCATCACTTGTTTCTTCCACTATTCTCACTAGGCACAAAGATAAAACTGTTAGAGAGATTATGAAGGCTGACGCTACAAATAGTTCCGGCACGTGTTGCGTCAGTGTGGCTTCAATTGACTAGACAGAAAAAGAGTTAGTGTACTTGCAGTACGTGCCGGGACCACGGATTGTTTTAGATATGGTGCTGTGACGCAGTGCGCATCTACGCTAAGGCTCTTGAATTAAATCATTTGAAAGCTAGCGCTCTGTGGTGTCTGTTCTTCCGATGTCCTTGACTTAAAGCGCAATCATGTTTTCACACGTATGTGATTGTATCTCAATTAAAAGGTGCGACGCAACGGATTTCTTACTTTCCGCAAATACAGCTTAGAACAAATCTCTGGTCTTATTGACCTATAACACTCGTATTCGTTTTTCACCCCCCGCAATCGAAGTCGTAGAAAAAAATTTTAGAAATCAAGCAGTGTTCACCCCCCCCCCCCTCCCTTCTCCCAACTCGCAGCCTGAACAAGGAGACCACGTGATCGGGAGCCTATTGTATGCCGTCAATGTTGATCATAGCCACGCGCAGGGGTTGGCAAGGCACAGTACGCGCTCTGACCTCCAGACATTGTTATGGTTAGGCTATTGTCGTGATTGCAGCGAAATGCTCGTCGAGCTATCGATTATCACGAGCCCTAATCGAGTGCCCACGCAGTGCTCGGGTCCAATTTATTGGCTGCATTAAAATGTCGTCACTCGGCGGTACCGCGACCGCCTAGCTAGATCATCAAGTTTTGCGAAGGCGAGGTTGAACGAAAATGCTTGCATTTTCTCCTTGAAATTACACTGCAACAAAGGGGTCTTTTTGCCAGTGGAGTTGCGTGCAAGTATCGTTGAGCCCAAATATTGCCATAAAGCTTGTGTAATTTGAAAAACATTTCAATTGAATATCGTCGCACCGCTCACTTAATGCCAAGCGTCGCTGAACTCGTGTCCAGCAAAGTTAGGTCCGCCAAGACACCGAACGTGGACAGAGCGTTTATGTGTGATGCAGGCTCAAAATTCAAGCCCAAGATATAAACTCGCTTCCGATAATTGAAGCAATAGCTAAGGGAAGACGCCCACTTTTGTAAATGACCTATCGACCCTCTACGCCCTTGTTGTCATCATAGTGCTCGGATATATTCCCAAATATTACGGGTATATATGGGCCAAAGTGAGGTTTCGCACTATACATTTAGGGCCCTGTATGCCCCAAGAAGCCAAGACATAACCAAAAATAGAATGCCAATTTAACAAGCCGGACATCGCTTACCTGGGCCACCAGATCGACAAGGAAGGACTACATCCAATCGAGAAAAACTTGGAGGCCATCCGAGATGCACCGACGCCGTCAAAGCGCGCGCTGTTGGTAGCCGCGCTCGGCTCCAGGCCGATTGGAATACTGTGCGGAATATGCGCGCCTCGAAGGGTCAACGAACTAACGTACAAGGAAGTTGTGGGCATCCTGGGTCGACACTACGCGCCCAAGCCCAACGAAATAGCTGAAAGCTACAAGTTTTTCAATCGGCAACAGCGGGAAGGCGAGTCGGTGCAAGACTTCATCGTGGAACTAAGGAAAATCGCGGAAAATTGCGATTTCAGAGACAGCTTGGACCGCATGCTGCGGGATCGCATTGTTTGCGGAGTGCGAAACCAGACAGTCCAACGTCAACTACTGGCAAGGCGAGACCTGACTTTGGCAGAGGCAGAAGATTTGGCTACCGCGGCAGAGGTAGCCACAAAGGAGGTAAAGAACATGGAAAGCCAGGAGGTAAAAAATGAAGTGGAGCTACACAGAATAGCCGGAAAGTCCCGAAAACAGCCAGACCTGGGAGGGAGGTACAATACAAGAAAAGAAGAATGCGAGCGATGCGGAAGCAGTTCACATGCACGGGACGCGTGTCGGCACAGATTCGCCAGATGTTTCCGATGCGGCAGACAAGGCCGTTTCGCGAAGAAATGTGGGGCGCAGAATGACATTGCAACTCCAGGACGACCAATCTCGACGATTGCAGCTGCGACGGCGTCAGAGGGAGAGGACCTGGACTTGGCATCAGTGTACACGGTACAACCTCGAACACGGGCAAGTTTTGAACCGCCGGTTCGAAGGCAGATCTCCTGGGGGGGGAGTACGACTGACCATGGAAGTCGACATGGGCTCTCCTGTTTGTGTTATTCCCCGTGAAGTGTACAATGAGCACAAGGACCATTGGCCGGCGCTGTCGGCAATCAAGCTGAGTCTCCGATGCTACTTGGGACAGCTGCCCATCCTCGGGGAGCTACACATGAGGGCGACCGTCCATGACGTCACGGTGCCGGCTCCGCTCGTGGTTGTGAACTGCCCCGGACCAAGCCTGTGTGGTGGAGAGGTAATCGGCAAACTGAACTTACTGAACCCTCTGGTGTCAAGCGTGGTTGCAGGCTCAACGAGAGAGCTGGAAGACCTGCTGTTGCAGTTTCAGGACCTGTTCGAGCCAGGCCTGGGAACCATCAAGGGGCCACCGGTACGTTTTCATTTGAGGGAGGGAGTGGTGCCGAAGTTTATGAAGGCACGACCTGTTCCATACGCGCTCCGCAACAAAGTGTCAGAGGAGCTGGATCGGTTGGTAGGGGCCAGAGTTATCTCACCTGTAAGCCATTCGGAGTGGGCAGCACCGATTGTACCGGTGCAGAAAAAGAACGGCTCGATACGCCTGTGCGGCGATTTTAAGTTGACAGCGAACATGGCGTGCAACACAGAGCAGTATCCGCTACCTAACATAGCTGATATGTTTGCGTCGTTGCGGGGCGGTTCTTTATTTAGCACCTTAGACCTTAGGGATGCTTACAGCCAGGTGGCATTGGATGAAGAGTCGAAGGAATTAACAGTCATCAACACCCATCCTGGCCTTTACAGCTTCAATCGCCTTCCGTTTGGAGTTGCTTCCGCGCCGGCGATTTTTCAGAGGAAGATGGAGAGCATGCTTGCAGATCTGGAGGGCGTGCAAGTGTACCTGGACGACGTCCTGGTAGCGGAACAACCGGGAACCGACAACCTGAGCAGGGTGCTGCAACGCTTCCGGGACATGGGTGTCAAGCTTCGGCGATCAAAATGCCAATTTAGGAGGAAGCCGGACATCACTTACCTGGGCCTCCAGATCGACAAGGAAGGACTAAATCCAATCGAGAAAAACTTGGAGGCCATCCGAGATGCACCGACGCCGTCAAATGTAAGCGAACTTCGCTCATTCCTTGGGCTTCTGACGTATTATCACCGATTCTTGCCTAATATGTCGACGCTGCTAGCACCGTTATACGAGCTGCTCGGCAAGGATCAAAGGTGGAATTGGGGACCAAGGCAAGATAAGGCCGCCAAACAGGCCAAGGCCGCGCTGCTGACATCACCGGTCCTGACATTTTTTGACCCTGAGAAGCCACTGCGACTGGAATGTGACGCGTCCCCAACAGGAGTGGGCGCCGTCCTATCGCACAAGATCCGAAGTGTCGATACACCGATAGCTTTTCGGTCAAGAACATGGACCTCCGCCGAAAAGAACTATTCGCAACTAGAAAAGGAGGCACTTGCGTTGATCTTTGGCGTAATCAAGTTCCGTGATTATTTACTAAGACGCCAATTCGTATTAGTCACGGACCATCAACCACTCGTGGGTCTGCTTCGAGAAGACCGGCCTGTCCCGCTACTGGCGTCTGGACGGATTCAAAGGTGGGCTCTGCTACTCAGCGATTTCCGGTACAAAATAGAATTTCGACCCGGCAAACAAAACGGAAACGCTGACGCGCTGAGTCGATTGCCACTTCCACGGCAAGGACCACCAGTGGAAGAGGACCTCCGGGAATTTGTGCTGACGTTGCACCGCGTAGATGAAGCATTTATGTCCGCGCAGCGGCTAGAAGACTTGATGAAAACAGACGATACGTTGTTGCAGGTCATCAAGTACGTGCAGAACGGCTGGCCTGCTAGCCTTCTGAAGAACCAGACAGAGGTACAGCCTTATTTTTCCCGGAAGCTCGAGCTGTCTACGTGCCGTGGGTTACTTTACTGGGGCCGGCGCCTCGTGATTCCGACACGGGCCCGCCCGGACATCCTGAAGCTGCTGCACGAATCTCACCAGGGGGTATCAGCCATGAAGAGAAATGCGCGGTCGTTGTTTTGGTGGCCGGGACTGGACCGGGAGGTGGAACAACTGAGCGGAAATTGTAAAGAGTGCGTACAAGCCACCCCAATGCCGTCCGCGTGCTCACCGGTGAATTGGCCAGAAACAAAAGAAAGATGGTCGAGCGTGCACATCGATTTTGCAGGACCAGCTGAGGGAAGGATGTTGCTGATAGTCGTCGATTCCCATTCCAAATGAATTGAAGCTTGCATCATGCGATCAACAACGGCAGAGGCGACTGTGAATCAACTCCGAGAACTGTTCAGCAGGTTCGGTCTGCCCAGAACAATCGTTTCTGATAATGGACCTCAGTTCATTAGTCAGCATTTTGAAGACTTTGTGAAAAGAAACAATGTGTGTCACCTCCGCTGTGCGCCCTATCATCCTCAGTCTAACGGGCTGGCTGAACGGGCAGTCAGGACGATCAAGTTCGGCCTCGCTAAGTTAACTGGGGGAGATTTGGGAAAAAGGCTGGCGCAGCTTCTGATAAGTTATCGTCGGACGCCTTTAGCGTGTGCAAGTCCCCAGGCGAAATACTTCTCGGGTACCGCATTCGTTCGCGCCTGGACATGAGTGTACCGTTCCGGCCTGCGTTATTGTCCGACGATGTGCAGGTTCAAGGAGACTCCTGGGACCTTGGGGCGGCGGTTTGGGGCCGCAACTTCGGCCAAGGTGAAAGATGGTCACCGGGGACCGTCCAGAACAAGCTCGGGCCAAGGATGCTGGTCATCGAGACTCCGGAGGGAACAGTCCGTCGACACATGGACCAGGTCCGCGGCAGACAAGGTCCGACTGAAAGTCTGGGAGGCCCTAAAAACGGTTCGGACAACGTCGGGCCGCCAGTGACACAAGGACAGCCGGACAGCCAGGGGCCACCGAGCGAGCAAGACGTGCCAGCCCCCGACGGTCAAGACCAACCAGCCTTACGACGCTCAACGCGGACACGGAAACCGATCGATCGTTTGCAATATTAAGAGAAGAAGAAATGTTGCATTGTCATTGTTTACATCCTGTCTATTCGCTGTTATCAAGACGATAGCAGTTTCCCTGTTGACGTCACTAGTCGTGCCGTTCTCTATATATCTGTGTTCGAAGCAATAAAGGGGGCGTTGTCCCATACTTGCTACCACCGGAGCGTGTCACACTCGCGTCGCGCCTGGCCGAACGGCGGATGGCAGCTAAGACGTAACAGTTCTTGGCCACCGGCTTGATATTTGGTTCCTAAATTGCCAAACATGTGCCAGAGTTGGGCACATGTTTGACGGTCACCTAATTTCTGTGGACTCACTTCTCGAGGCAAGGCCAGAATTAGGGCTTCGTTTTGGCGTTTCGGTTTTCACTTGGCAAATTTTGGGCCTAAATTCACAAACAATTGTGATTTACCTCGGCTGCACTGCTCGTCGTTCCCTTGATACGCGGCAATTTCGGCTCATGCCTGGCACTTTGGCCGTTAAGTGGCGATAGAACGAAAAGCCAAAGCCGAAGAAGTGTACTTTGGCACGATGGAGGTAGGAAGCTACTGAAAGTGGCATATGGACACCAGAGGTGATGCCAGAAGTGCGGAGGTACACGGCCTCAATGATGACCAACACCAGGAGACGCTATTATACAGAAAGGAAAGCTGACTTGGCGCCCGGAAGCTTTCGAGAACAGCACTTGGCGCCAAGTCAGCTCTCCCTTTCGTATAATAGCGCCTCTTGGTTTTGGTCATCGTTGCGGGCGTGTACCTCCACACTTCTGGCTTCACCTCTGGTGGCCTCAGGTCGCCTCATGAAGCTTTCTACCTCCATGGTACTTTGGCACTGCCTGGGTTAAAATGATTTTGGGCGGGGCGTGCCCAACGTCAAAGAAACAGGCTCCTTGAGATAAGACCAAGAGCGCTCACCATTCCGAGGAAGATGTTGGCGGCGGCGGTCATAGACTCGCACACCGTCGTTCCGATGGTGAGCTGAAGAAAGCTGCCCACTTTGAGCACAAGCCACTGCATGATGCCGTAGAAGTACAGGAGGCTCACGATGAAGCTGAAGAAAAATATCACGGGCAGGGCCTGAAAAAGGAAAAGTGAACGGCGAGGTTTTTCAGGACAAAGGATTACAATCTCCATTGAGAGAATATACCTCATTGTACTCTAAGCCCAACTACTGAAGACAATGCCGGACTGATGGGACAAATTCAGCGGTGTCAAAAGTTTATCATCAGGGCACTCATCGTCTTTGTTTTTTTTTTATTTCCGGCTAAATTATTTATGCGCTGCGAATGGCCCATGATCTTGCAATTTATTTTTCTACGCGTGATTCGTTTAGCCTAGAGTAACTGAATGTTTTCAGAGTACCGAATTTTATTCAGTCCCCTTTCCGGAAGTCGATCCCACAAAAAATCCAGTTTTGATTGGCTGGTTTAGCCCACAATGGAAGTGATCGGTGGGCTATCCAAATGATAACCCTCCTCCCCCCCCCCCCCCCCCCCCCAAAAAAAAAAGAAGAGCAACCCGCACATGAAACGTTCCTGCGTTTCATGTGCGGGTTGTACACAACTGCGGGTACGCACGGTTGCGTACGCCGGGAATCGACGTGTTAGGAAGATGCGTCAAATTTCTCCAAATTTCTTTTATTTTTTTAATTTTTTTTATATATATCAAGCACCCGCTAATTTGGTTAGCCAAAGAAGACCATTGCCGGCTCGTTTCCTCGCTCCAGTTTCGCTGGTGTGCCGTTTAAAACCCTACGCCTCAGACGCTAAGCCTAACACTCGACTTCGATGTCTTTAGAGGCGAGAGAGAAAAACGAGACAGCGAGGAGCAAGTTCGGCACTGTTCGGAACGAAGGAAAAAAAAAATCAATAAAAACTAACCACTCTCACCACAGACCAGGAAAGTGGATTGTAGAGCTCGCAAAAGAACCAACCCAACACTGTATACAAGCTTCGCTTCGACCGCACAGGGCAGCGCCATATTGGGGGATGAGTTGGAACGCGAAAGCCGCGCCGCGACTCGATTCTGAAATGAAGCTTGGGAGTTTCGGTGCTCTGGGAACATCCAGTGACTCTAGTTTAGCTGATGATAGAAAACACAGAAATTCGACGAACGTCGTGGGAATGCACCTTTGCCTTGGCTTGATTCCCTCCATTAGACTTACTAGAGTTAGTCTAATAGAGTATAGGCATGCGCAGATACTCTACGCTCTATCGGATCGTAGCGTTGGCTGCGGTCGGATGTAGGAGAGTTTTAGGGAACCGTTTTCGCGCATCCCATATGGCACGATTGGCCCTCCGGTACGAACTGCGCATGTGCTACCGCCGAAGGCTCACAAAAGCGCAGTTCGTACCGCGGGTGACTCATCGTACCGTGTCGGATGTGCGAAAACAGTTCCCTAAAACCCTCGACAAATGTGGGACCGAGTATAACCCGTCTCTTCATCCTTCTTCTAGCTCATGCCAGTTATTAATGAAACTCTACACAACCTGGATGCTAAAAAAAAATCTTTCTTCAAGGGCGAGCTCGCTTCGAGTATTGAGGCTTAATCTTGACCGAGGCCTGGCAACCGCGGCCCACGAGCCGCATTGTGCCTGCGAGATGCTTCTTTCTTACGTATGGTGAGTTTACAGCTGACAAGTGGTTTTGGTAAAACACCAAGTCGACATCTGCAGCGCTGGCATTCTAGCTCACGCGACGCACATAAATATTTCAGGGTTACATAAAACAGGTTTGAGAAGAAATGTCTGTTCTTAGTCGAGCAAAGGCCAAACAGTTATCATTACATTTATTTTCTGGCAGCGGCTTCTTATTTGTGTCGTACTTACATGTTTTTCAGGGGCGAAAATCGTGCACATCATATCCCTACACTGCGAAGGACATTGATCTACAACGATGTTCGCTGCTAACTTGACGGGGCATTAAAACCTACGCCTTTGCAGAACATGCCTATCGTATACCTTTATAACGCGTGGGTATTGCCTGCTGACTTCACGGGTATATACAGAGAGGTCATGATAACATAATGCAAGATTTAATTTGAATGGTACACCGGGAGCGTAGCTACTGCCGCCTTGCCTGTTTAGCCCTTTACAGGGTTAGTTATCGTCAAAACCCCCCGGGTCCGCCCCATCATGGAAGCATGTAGCAAGCAGGGGCCGAGAGTTCTAAGAGGGGATTGAGAGCCAGGCTAAGCGATAGAAGTTCAAGCTTGGAATGAAAGACATTATCAACTACATCCCAATTCACAACGAAACGGGGATTATAATATGGAATACATTTTGCTTTCTTTGCTCCGTGGTTCAATACACTCATAGTGAATTCAAAAAATTATTCTACTGCGTGAGTGCCCTGCCGTTAGGTTTATCAAAATACGTACATATGTTTATTGCTAAAACACCAGAACCACCCGCACAAGCACGTGTGTATTTGTGGGCGGGAGACTGTTGCATTGGATAGGAATTTTCTTCTTACTCATACCTCGGATGAAGCACAAGCAAGCTTCCGACAAAAACAAGAGTTTCATAACCTAGAAACTTGCAGACGAAATCCCATTTACATGTTAGAAAACCCGACAAGTTACAAGCTCTGTAAATTCAAACTTGAAAACCATAAAACGCAAACTCGCAGAGCGAGGTACAAACTTACTTCCGCGTTAGAACAGATATTAAAAATTTGGCTATGCATCAAGGCTATTACACCACTTTTTCAACTCTCTCGTAACAATTACTGATTAGAACTTTAGTTAACATATTTTTAGAGCTTTATAGAAATGTTTGACATGCGCGTCACGGATGCGATGTAGAATATTAGTGCTGAAAGCGTAATATATACTCGGGAGGTGTTCAAAATAACAGCGTCATTACAAATCCTCTGACAAGTTCGCTCGCCATTGCTACAGAGAGCTCTGACGCTTGACGCGGAGGAGCGCGCCCTGTCGACTCAGTGAACATCTACGAGAGTCGCTCAATACATGTTTTCTGGATGAATCTAAGTACAATTCAGGGTGAAAAATACTGCTTTTGTTGTCAATATTTTCAGAAGTGAAACACATACACGCATTCTAGTTATATTTCATGGAAATTGAGTTAGCGTGCGCAGAGTGATTAAACGCGTAAAAAACAATCACTTTTCTCGCTAAACGCAACAAAAAGTAGCACATATCAGGCTTCACTTGAAAAAAAAAAATCTTAATCTAAAGAAACCTGTGCCGGAGTTCTATGAAACTAAAAGGCATATATATATAATTTGGGCAACATACTAGACCTGTCTATTAGTTCCTGGTACGTCGAAAGAAAGGCGAAGTCTTGCCAGCAAGATATTCAAGTGTTGAAAAACTGAAGGTTGCGGTTCCTGATCCGCTTGGTGTACGTCGAATTTTTATTTATGATTAATTCGAAATGCTTGTGAGAAAAGCCTAGCTGTTTCTTTTTTTTAGCCATAATCTTATTGAAGGTTTTTCTTTTTTTTACGTTGAGGTAGAATACTTGGCGGGAGTCACTCGCGCATACATTTTGTCCGTCTTGTGCTATACCGAGTATTTAATGGCCGTCATAGATCCGTGCGCCACTGTTGGTCAATGAGGGCTGCCTCCAAGCTTTCAAAAGATTTGTTTCACATCTTAAAAGCTGCTGTTCTTCGCAGACTATAAGTTACATTAACCACAGCTCGCGATGACGAGAACTAATGTGAATGCCTCCTCACGGCCAACACGTGGCTTTTACGTTACACCACTACGGCGACGCTGCTTTATAAGCACGGCGCATGCGCAGTTCGCTTTCCTTTACATGAATCCGGTTCCTGCGCACGCGCATTTCACACACCTCACGTGATTTGTCTGTAACCAGCGCTTTGGTGTATATTCACGAGAGCGCATAGGCTTACCTGGAAGACAAATAGTGGAGGCAAATTCTCGATGGATGGCGGGGCAACTTCGGTGACGTTCTGGAGCGACGCATTTGCGTTCTGTGGCTTGACTAGGTCTCCGAGAGCCTCGGTCAGGTTGAAGCCTTTGGCCAAATAGCCAAACACAAAGGTGGAGCCAGCGAACGTGAAGTCTAGAAAGCTCTTGACCTTGTCGCCGAAACACTGGAGCGCCTCTCGGCCAAGTGGCCAGCGGAGCACAATGAGGCCTAACAGGAACTGGAGGAGGACAGCCCACATCACCTGGTACCAGTTGATCTGCGCCAGAGATGGCAGTAATGACATTACTGTAATGGGATTACAGTAATTAAGTTACTTTTTGGAGTAGAGAGTAATGTAATGAATTACTTTTCTAGGCTAGTAATTTAGTAATGTAATGCATTACTTCAGGCAGTATTTTCTAGAAAATTACTCATTACTTTTGAAATTACTTTTGTCCTAAATTAGAAAATTCGTTGGCAAGCTTTAAGAAAGAAGAGAACATCATTTTGCATGGTGAAATGTTGTGAAAGAGCATCAGAAGAAATAATCGACGGCCACCTGAGCGCAAAGCCTTGTACGAAGAGCTGGACAGACGCACAAAGGAGGGCTGGAAAGCCAAACGTGGAAAGCTTGCGTGTGGACATCGCTGGAAGGCAGCGGCTTACCAACTCTAGGCACGACAGATTCACGGTGTCGCGTCATCACGACGATACTATACTTCGCTCATCCCTAAGCTGACAGTGCAGTGGGAGCTGCAAGCTAAGCACGACCAATCAGACACCGTCTTTTAATCACGTGTCCCGTTCCTTTCTCGGCGCGTGGGTATGAACGAGAGCGTGGTTACGTGATCAACGATAGGCGTGTGCCTGCTCCAACAAACATGTAGCTTCCACCGTTCACCCCTAAGCTGACAGTGTGTCAGCTTAGGAATGAACGGCTCATAAGCTACAAGGCGAGGAGCACATCACCAGCGAGTTAAGCATGATTTAAAACCTGAGAGCACAGGACAAACAGATCTTGTACTTTCGTCAAACAAAGTCAAACCGTAAGCTTCGACCACTGTGAAAAAAAAGACGACCGGAATAAAAATAGTTAATTTCAAATGCCTCGTCAAAGCCCCAGAACGTTTCGTGCGTCCTCGCGCAAAACAGGTGTCGCTCGCGGTATGCCTCGCCGCCTCCCCTTGGGAAGTTTATTCGGGAATAAGCCTAAGAACAGACATCGCCCCCCCCCCCCCCCGTTTGTTGGGAAAGTATGAAATATAGGGAAGCTCAAGCCATTCTCCAGCTGGCGAAACTTCTGCTTAGCAATTATACGGGCCCCTTGTGTGACAATGCGCAAAACTTTGACTCTTCGTGTGTTTCGGAAATATGCTCCTTGAAAGAAATGACCGAGAATACGTCAACTATACTCGGCGACAACTTCTATTGGGAATGCAGTGGAGGGTACAGGCACGCGTTTCCTTTCCCATTTTGAGCGCTGAATAAAGATGTGCGCAGGCTCTCCTCCTCACCACTGCATTGCCAAGAAAAGTTATCGCCGAGTATAGTGCTCTCAGAAGAATAGAATTAGATTGCGTCCTAGGCGGAAGGGAAACGTTTCACGTGACGACTCCTTGTAAGAATGAGCTGCCATTTCCCGACTTACCAAACTGACACGGACTACAACTTCTAAATCAGGAAGACTGAAACATATCACCATTTTAGTAAGAACCTTCACCGTTGAATGAACAGCGAATTTGGTGAGTCGATTACCTTTCTGAGCCACATCTAAAGAAGCTATATTTATCATGTTTAACACGTATGTCGTGTACGCCAGCAAAACCACTGTTCAGTATGGTTCAGTTTGAGGCACCTAATGAAGATCTGAGTTTTTGGTCACATCACTGCGGTGGCGCTGCTCTCAGCACTGCATATGCGCAGCGCCTCGCATCTCCCGGATCTGGTTCCTGCACACGCGCTGTCTGAGCAAACGAGGGCTTGTTTTTTTTAACACTTTGTTGGTGTATCCGGTCAATAAAAGGAGCGCGAATTACTGACTCAAGGTATTCAAAAGTAATGTCAAAGTAACTTCAAAGTAATTTCATTACTTTGGGAGAGTAATTGTAATGCAACGTCATTACCGTTAGTCTGTGGTAATTTGTAATGTAATTTAATTACATTTGCGCAGTTTTCGGAAAAGCAATTGGTAATGTAATTTAATTCCTTTTTGAAAGTAATTTTTCCATCTCTGATCTGCGCAATACGCGGCACAATATTGAAATTAGACGATAAGCATCGTTGAAAGCGAATTCTTTGAGCAATTCGGGCACAATAACGCTACAAAGAAATGCAGTTTTGTGTTTTTGCGTCATGCATCAAAATAACAGGCTGAAGTTGAGCTAGTTGGTACATAATTTAGGTAAATGGTCAGCTAGAACGATAGGGACCAAACACAGACAGAGAGAAACAGAGACATACACACCGCTGACTATCAACTAAGACTTTATATTTCTTCTTCATCACTTCGACCGAAAGATTCACACCTAAATTAATGCCCAATGAATCATCATAAACCCTTAAATTACACTACTATATTAAAATACTAAATAAAATTAATTAATTACATTAAATTACTAAATTTGGTCACTGAAACCTCTCTGATCCAACCGACATACCACCGCCGACACCTTTCCCTCTTATTCCCTTTCACGGGGCCGCGCCACACTGCAAAAACTGTTTTTCTTTCTTGCTGACCGTGATGGAGGGCATGCTTACGCAGTCATCGGCGGTTTGCTCAGTGGCCAGGGCCTCGAGAATCTCGCGGGCACAGGCATTTCTGTGTCTGTTAATAATGGAGACGCTGCTAAAGCTGGGCGTGCACCCACACGTGCGGCAATGGGCTGCAATGTGCCCAGCTCCCGTGCCCTGCACCGACGCCGCGTGCTCCCTGACTCTGTCTGTGTTGGTAATGTCAGAGTCAGACAGTGTCAGGGAGCACGCGGCGTCGGTGCAGGGCACGGGAGCTGGGCATCTTGCAGCCCATTGCCACACGTGTGGGTGCACGCCCAGTTTTAGCAGCGTCTCCATTATTAACAGACACAGAAATGCCTGTGCCCGCGAGATTCTCGAGGCCCTGGCCACTGAGCAAACCGCCGATGACTGCGTAAGCATGCCCTCCATCACGGTCAGCAAGAAAGAAAAACAGTTTTTGCAGTGTGGCGCGGCCCCGTGAAAGGGAATAAGAGGGAAATGTGTCGGCGGTGGTATGTCGGTTGGATCCGGGAGGTGTTAGTGACCAAATTTAGTAATTTAATGTAATTAATTAATTTGATTTAGTATTTTCATTTAGTAGTGTAATTTAAGGGTTTAAGACGATTTGTTGGGCATTACTTTAGGTGTGAATCTTTGGATCGAAGTGATGAAGAAGAAATATAAAGTCTTAGTTGATAGTCAGCGGTGTGTATGTCTCTGTTTCTCTCTTTCTGTGTTTTGTCCCTATCGTTCTAGCTGACCATTTACCTAAATGCATCAAAATAGGCAACAGTCTTGTATTAGAGTACCGCGTTTTAATGCCAAGTGATAAAGTATACGTCGGAAAATTACAAAGCAAGATAATGCCATAGTGAACATAGAACAGGTGACTGGTTTTAATATGAACAAATTTTTTCCAGCCCGTGAAATGCGCATATAGCGGTTTGCGCAGGTGATTTACATGGCCAAGAGAACATAACATACGGGCTAATTGTTACGATAATCAGGTTAATTGTCTTGAATTTATTCGCTAACTTCGTAAATTGATGAAAATAGCGATATGGTTTCCAATAAAACTGCAAAATTACTAACTCAGTCAATATTATAAATCTATGAAACACGTGTGAAGCGAGGAGGTGCGCTGAAATTTCCACCCGTGGAACAGACGCGAGGATGGCAGTGGAAAAATGAAGATGATAAGATCCTCATCCGGGTCTCTCTATGCGCAAACAATTACAAAAAAAAAGTTTCTGGAAAATATTTTTTTTAGTTTTTTTTTAGTGCAGCGTTGTGAGATAAATGGCCACGATTACGTAAATGAACTTCGATTGCTCGCGCAAATTACGCACCTTGGGCCGCACGGAAGAAAACCTGTGAGGGGGAATATATATTCTCATATTTGTAAGGCCAAATTCAATTTAATGGACAGGAAAACTGCATGATCGTTTCTACTATTCCGAACATTATGAAACGGTCCTTCACGCCTCCTTAGAGTGCCTGCCCTTATTTTTTTTTTTGGAAAGCTGTGGTTTGAATTAGAAACGGAATGCGAAGGTAAAGTATTTGAATTACTCGGCAAGTGGAGGGGTAATAGAGATATTGGGAACCGCAGACGCACACAAAGGACATGTCAGGTGTTTCAGCTCGTATTCTCTTGGGGGTACGTTTATTCTCAGTGACGAGCGCGCCATATATACACAGCGCTGCTCTCCTGAAAACATTTTCAAGAAGAGTTTTCCAAAGGTACATTTATTTATAGTTCAGTTCGTTTTCGTTTATTAAGCTTTAAAGGTACTTCAATGAAGTGTACCTTACATGAAGGGGATCTAGTACAAGAAATCAGCAGTGAGGGTTGCCGAATTACACTGGGGTTAATTATTAGCATTACACATAATATGAGGTAATATAAAAAAAAAGACAAGTAAACGAAAATAGCAGTAAGTGATATAAAATAAATATTTCGACTCAGGCAAAACACTTGTGAGGTTCGCCCCGAACAAAATTATTGTACTTATCGTTGTGAGTTTTTAGTACGTTTTTGGAGGGAGAGAATTCGATCCAGTCTTTAACGTATAAGGGAAGCGGGGAATTTCGAAATGTATTTGTTCCAGTTAATAAAGGATTTATTTTCAAGTTGTCGTAACGACGCAAAATTTATATGAGACAGGGATTGACAGTAATTGTTATGCAAAAAGGAATGGTAGGTTTCGTGAAAGAAAAAAAAATGAACAAGTTTACTTCTCTCAGTCAATGGGCGAAGCTAAAGATTTTATTTTTAATGAAATTTTGTTCAACGTCCGCGAGTAGTCGTGCGACATAAAACGGGACGTTTTATTTCGAACCAAATCAAGTATGTTATTGTGATTTACAGCAATCTCACAAATTTCAACACTGCATGTTCATGAGAATTTTAGCAAAACGACCCCGGCAAATTTTTGCCGTTTTAAGCCAGAGTCATATCTGGTCATACATGATACAAAAGGCACACAGTTCGGTGCTGACGCGGTGACAATATTTTTTTTTTTTTTTTTGCAGACGCGCCTTAAGCATATTGACTTCCTACAGAGGTATAGTCAGAACATATCTGCATACACAATATTGTATGTTATATTAGCACTGTGACGGAGGCTTTACAGAAGTTAAAAAGAAAGCTCACCTCTTGCCTATATTTGGAGAAGACATAGCCCAGGAAGATGAGCACCACGGCGCCGGCGACCGACACGAGTCGCCGGGGGTCGTTCAGGGAGTCTACGACGAGGAACGCCAGGATTCCGATCCAGATCGCGGCCCAGACCCCGATCCTTCTGTGGATTAACGACAGGAGCGGTGCGGGAAATTAGAAAGACAAGGATGAGTGAGGCAGGCTGCTCGCATATCGCATAAAAGTCAGTCTGAAGCCACTGCCTGAAGCATCGCGTGGATATGACGGCCCCGTCACACTGGTCATACAAAAACTGCCGGCAGGCAGGTTTTAAAGCACACACACACACATATAAAGCTAAAACATCATACTTCCAAAACCGTTGAGACGCGTTAGTCGATTTTATTTTTCATCGTTTCTGGAGTGAAACCCGGTTCTTTTGTACGATGCACAACCAATGTTACCCCTGCTTTAGTACTGTAGAGGCACACACTTGGTTCAAGGTCCTTGTGGCTGGGTCCATATGTCTGAGAGTACCTTCGTCTAATGATAAGCGCTCTCGTCTAATGATAAGCTGCAGCGTGTGATATATATTTAGTTTGAGATAGAGGCGACAAGATAGCCCAACAACCAGAAAGACGATTAGAAAAAGTGGACGGAACGAGTGCTGACTAACAACTGAATGTTTATGTATGTAGTTTATCGTCGAATGAAGAGTTTATTTTGAGACATGTTAAGCTTGAATAATTTCCGAGTGAAGTAAGCAACGGGAAGTACAGTGTACTTGCTTACCAGTACGTGGTAAGCAACTACACTTCTTGCCAGTACGTTTAAGTCGCATCAAGGACGGGCCAAAAAGACCGCAACAAAAGAATGACAACAAAAAATGTCGCTGTCAAAGTTGCAAGTTCCTAAAAGCATAGAGCACAAGGTGCCTTCTCTAACAAATTTCTTTACCCATCCCTCCTCCTCTCCCCTTCCCCCCTTTCCCTCGACCTTTCGGTGGTCGGCTATCTGGTTCCCACACTCAAATGAGTTTGAGACCACTGTTTTAGATTGTCCATAATTTTGTGTAATGAAAGATTGCATTAACACACCTCGAATGCTGGCATTAGTTTATCTGGTTTGGCGGCCACTATCACAAGGTTTCTTGTGGCATTTTGCGGCTAATTATTGCGTGCTTTTATTAGTTTACTAAAAATAAACATACTTAGTTGCAATTTGAGACAGGCTCGGCTTTGTCGCAAACCACAAAAGTCAGTTACGTTGGAGTATATGGGAACACATGCTTTGTTTTTCTTTTTCTATTTTATCATTTACGTTCTCAGCTTGCCAGCCATGTACCTGTAGAAAAAGTGGCAACTTTTCCACCCCGCTATGCATCAATGGTGCTTAAAATATTTCTGAAATTGACTGATTTAGTGGTTTCTGATAACGCTCATTAAGTGAGGTATGGGGCCATTGCATGTACAGCCTGCACCTTCCCAGTGTCCTATATGTATCTAATCATGGTATACAATTATGCTTTGATTTTCAGGAATGGTCCATGGCTTTTTTTGGTGCTTAACACCTAAGGTACAAAACGTAAACGTTAAAAGACGAGACGCGCAAAAAGAAGGGGAAAGGGAACAAGCGATGCTTCTGGCGCATGCCCTTCGTGAGACCACACAGCAAGCCGCAAGTTATATGTGAATTTCGTAGTACAGGTTTCATCCAGTGTTTATAAGCAATAAATATCTAAAAACTGATTTCAACGTTTTGCAGCTTATTTTATCACATATTGCATGGTCCTGACAACCTTATATTGACAGGAATGACACAAGAGATACAGGCAAGCTGTTGGACTCAAAACCTCGTGGAAACCTGGCACCAAGAAACAAGAAGGGATGACACAAACAACAACTGAGATTGTTGGTTGTGTCCCCCGTTTTCCCCTGATCTCGGGATTCCACTCTTTTGAACCTCGCCTTGACGTCGCTTGACCTCTATGCAGTATAGACTAATTATGATAATCACCGTTCTATTTCTAGCATTGAAAGGCTCAACGGGATGATGATGAAACAAGTCAGAAAGCATCATCATTTTGACGTTCAAAAGCTTGGAAATAGAGCTGCGAAGACATTTCCCGTCATTTTCAGGGAAACGGTTTTACAGTGTACCTAGTAACATAAATGCATAAAACGTGGGACCACTGTCGGCCGCAGGGTGAAAGTGATCGCCGCTATTCCGCCCTCTTGGCCTAGAATACCTGATAGCCGCCATTGCACGATCGGTTCAGCTTCAGACGCTTGGCTTTAGACCCCTTCTGAGCTCCCGCGCTTCCCTTGGTCGACGCAAGTGCTTTGGGGCGAGGATCGCTTCCCGCGCTCTTCTCGAAGAATAGCTTGCGCTTCCAAAGCCAAAACGTAGTTTGGGTTCAGTGCATACGTGGTGGGAACTTCGCAATTTCTTTGCAAAAAGATGAGAGGTTATTGTGCAACAGAAAAGCAAAAAGATTCTCGTTCCAGGGTTACGCTGCAGTCGGATACAAGTTAAGATTGCGCTGCACGCGCCAGTTGCCTTCCGTCGCACTTTGACTGGCAGTGCTCACCAGACCCCAAAGGATTACGCAAAGCAGGAAGCCCGCACTCGACGCGGATCATCCGGCGCATCATCAAAGGCCGACGAGCAGCCAGATAGGTGGAAACTCCTCGTATTCCTTCTTTCCACTTGAGAAAGAAGAAGACCCTCCTGTTTTCAGTGGGGACTCAGAGACCCGCTCTTGTTGGCAGGGGAGGTGAAAAGTGGGCGAAAGGGAAGGGAGAAAGAAATACTGGGAACCGGTTTCCTACCCGGCAGAAGATGATTAGGTAGGTTTTTATCTTCTATGTGCCATATTTGAGTGCGTTGTTCACAGCGCATGCTCAGGAGCTCACAGTCTTCCGCCCCTTTTTTTTTGGCAACAAACACAGTGGCGCCATCTATTGAGGAGCCCCGGGCACTTCCGGTACACGCACTGTTCCTAATTTCTTACTGAACATTCTTTTATCATACGAGTGAATTAAGTCTGACAGTGCTATAACTTGTAATTTCCAGAAGAAAGCGTGTATAATTGATTTCGCAAATACTGCGAAACCCTCCGTCTAGCTCACAACCGGAAGTGGTTGGGGGCTATTTACACGGTGGTGCTACCCTGTCTCAACTTACGCGATAATGAGAGAATAGTCTGCTAAGAGCAGCTTTCCTGGTATCAAATGCAAGCTAAAAAAAATGATTGCGGAAATTTGCCAGTAACACGCGCTGAGCACCCGCGGACTCAGCTGTGGCCGCCACTGAATTCTCCCGATAATGTGGAGAGCGCTTTGTGCCCAAACAAATGTTGAAATAAACATTCAATATTTAACGCTTCCAGATTTATTGTAAACGTGATTGCCGCACCGCGTAGCTGAGCCAAAGAAGAATCAAAGTCTGACAACTGGCAGCTTAACCGACGCGTTAAAAAATTCTAATCGACGTCCCAATCGCCAAACTTTTACATCAGAGATGTCTACAGCATATACAAAGGTAAATACTCCCAGATGGATGCTTTCGTTTTTGCTAGAACTCACGCATATAAGGAACTTTCCAAAGCCATACCCTTGTGCTCGTGTGCGTAATCCGAAAAGAAAAAAAAAACTTTCTAAAGGACATTGGCGGGTTATATATGCTCGCCGAGGTTTCTGTGACCATGACTTATGAGAGCCTAGCTCCACAGAACACAATTTCCGGCTCCTGAGAAAGATATGTCTTCCTTATGATATATAATGAAAAAATGTTCACTAGGACGAAACTGGAAACTGTTTTCGCGGCATATTTTGGAGTTCTCGAGTATTTTCACTTTTAAAGAAGCAAAGGTGGATTGTGGTATTTGGGCTATCGTTTAAGGGAGCCTAATCGGCCGTTTCGTCAGGCTCGTATGTCTTCTGCACAGCAAAGACACATTTTACGTTACTTTTTGAACAACAGAAGAAGTACAACATGCTTATACAAATGTTGGTTTGTTTCTTATTATTTTTGGAACAAAATATACAATCTGGCGCTTTTGACGATACTTTACTTGGTTTGGTTTATGATAACTTCTTTTACAATCAATTTTAGAACATTAATTATACATATCAAATATAAGTCTATGCATGCACCTATTTAAGAAGTACAACTTGTTTAGTCAAAGATATCTTAGTGAAAAACGTCTTTTACTACAAGAAGCAACTCTAAAAGCACAAAGTTCAACATAAACTTTTTAATGCATTTTTAATTGTTTCTGTTGTTTCAGTACGAAGCACCTTGGAATTATTTAAAAGGTCTAAAAAAATCAGATATATGTTTTGGACATATAAACTTGTGCATTCCAAAATACAATAAATATGAAGTTTTTATCAACTAATGAATGCTTAAGTGAAGTAAAGTAAAAAAGTTAATACTTTAGTAAAGTATTCATTAGCAGCGTCTTACAATGCTGGCCTCGGTAAACGATTTTGTTATATTGACATTTCCTTACCGCGCAACGAGAATATAAGGGACAAACCCGTTAATTGAAGTCTGACGTTTGCAGTCAGTATAATTTGCGATATAAAATTAAATGACGCAAGAGAATTGACCGCCAGAGAACTTGGCTCAAGTCAAATGCCAGGCACCACTTCATTGGTAGACAGCTATTTATTTGTTTGAACTGAAACGTGTTCTATTATGAGCGTCATCGAGAGTAAAGCCGGTATTCACAACGCAGCACTCGAGTGATTTTTATGCAGACGGCTTCTTTTCGGCGTCATATTTTGCGTACCTCGGGCGCTTTTGCTCACAATTTGTCATGACAGGTTTTTCACCCGGAAAGCCCTACCCTATGTATCTAAATAAATTATTGAATTGGACATCTTAAGAAATTTTAAAGACTCCAAACATGAGACCGAGCACGGTCTCTAGTTTCTTTAAATTGAAAAATAAACAGATCAAGGGAATGTTTATACCGCAAAATGATTCTCCATATAATCAAAAACAACTGTATTGGATTTGTTATGAAGGCAAAGCACGATGCTTTCAAGAAACACACAGCGACCCTTTGCATTTGCGCTTCTTATTGTGAGACTATCGCTTAGCCGCTATCACTTAAGTAAATATGCGTGGTCATAAATAATTGGCCTAGTATCC